AGTCATTTCAAGAAAACACTATTTGGCCATGGTAACTGTTGCAGCTCCATTAGTGGTGGAAATGGTGGAAGCTGTAATTTCCCTTGTACAGTCAATCAGTTTCTCTGTCGGTTGTGTGGGTCTTTCACACAGCACACAATGAGAGAAAAACATTTTAACATATTAGAAAATCTGATCATAAAACTACAAAAATGAGCAAGGGGCATTCGGGCAGGTGTAGTACATAAAATTAATTTAAACTTTCTTGAAAACTGACTAGCTTTCAAGTAGGCCGTGTCCCTTTCACCTCAACTCTCTGTCATTAATCTGTTCAGAAAATTACAGCTAATGCTGATGTTGTGGCTTTCGAAAGGATGGGCAATTGGCCTCCATTGGCTTTTCCAACTGTCAATCAGGCTTCTCTCACCTGTCCCCGCCCAACCAGGCGCCAGCTGACGGTGTGTCTCTGTCTATTGGACAGTTCTCCCAGATCGAGTCAACTGTCCGCCTCGCCAATTACATACAATCACTGGCTTCCCTCAGACAGCCAGTGGCACGGACATGGGCTAATGGTGGAGACCTGTGACTTGGCAAATCTGCTGTCAATCAGAGATAGGTGCTCTGGCCCCTAAGAGCAGGGCGCACGTGTAGGGTTACGGGCGTGACCGTTTGTGCACGCGCCCATGCGTGGTGGTGGGGCTGGGCTGGGGGGAGGAGGAGCTGCTGCTGCTGCTGCTGCTGCTGCCGCCTGTGGTTTCAGAACCTTGGAGAGTGTCTGAGAGTGTGCAGGAGCAATAGAGGTGGAGCTGGAGCCGTGGGACCGGGACAGCGGCCGCCCCCGCCACTACTTTGTTTATCTGTTTAGCTTCTGAAAGAGGGACATCGTGAACCCGCTCAGTGGCTGCGTTAGGGCTACCCCGGGCATGGTCACCCCGGCTACCCTCTCACCACTGGGCACAGTTGCTCTGGCACCACCAGGTACAGTTGCCCCGGCTACCCTGGCATTGTAGGGAAAATTTCATATTTTAACACCTGCCCCTGCAATCACCATCTTGGATCACCACAGTTGTTTGGGATCCATCTTTGTTCCCCTTCTCCTTCACCAGTTTGGTGCTCTTCTGAGTAAAAAGGCGGGAAAAGCTAAGGGGACGTGACTGGCTAAACTGCCTGGCAACGGGAGACTATAAAAGGCCATCTACCCAGTCACCTAGGGCTGCCCGTCAACAAGGCAGTCAGTGGACGCCTGCACTTAGGGTTGCTGAGGCCATAATACCTCTGGCTGCATGGTTGGGGTTACTTGCCTGCACACTGGATAGCAGTCCATCAGCTATCCTCGGTCTCTGGATCTTACACACACGCAGGACACAGCAGGGGAAGAAGACCTGTGGGAGAAAGACTGGCATCCCTGGTCAGAGCCCTGTCTTCGCAAAGGAGACCTGTTGCAGAAAGATCAGCTTACCTGTCTTGGAGCCCTGTCTTGGAGTTCCTGTCTTTACCTGTGTCCAGTGCTCCAGTCCTGATCTGTCCGTGAGGGTCCATCACATCCTGTTATCAAGACATGGTAGAGTGTCATCTTTGTAACCTGCCCTGGTAAATAGCTTGGGGCCTGGGCTTTAAGCCGTGTATCTTGTTTAACAGCCGAGTGGTTCTGTATGTTGGTCCTTTTGGACTTGGGGGTCCTAGTTAAGTACGTCTGTTGTTAATTTACTTCATTTAATAAACTGTTTTGCACCTTACCCCATTGTAAAGCTTTGTTTTGAGATTAAATAACCTGATGATAGACATGGGATTGGGGGGGGGGGGAAACGAGCCTAACTGCATCCTGGCCAGGTGAACAGCACCACCAGGCACAGTTGCCCTGGCTACCCTGGCACCACCAGGCACAGTTGCTCCAGCTACCCCATCATTGCCAGAAATTGCTGCCCCAGGACTGTGCGGAATAGTTGCTCATTTACCCCTGGATTGTGTTGTGGTGACAGAGAGCCAGTCAATTGTCTCAGGGCTGTGGATGATCAATTGGTTACTATGGGACTGGGCAGAGAACAATTTTTGCTTACCTCAGGACTGTGGGGCATGGTCAGTCAGTTAATCCAGGACCAGGAGTATTATCCATTACTCTAGGTCTCAGAGGATCACTTGGTTGGTTATCTTGGGACCAACAGGTTATGTTACCACAAGGGACAGTCGGCCAGTTGTTTTCGGACCAAAAAGCAGTCAGATACCCAAGGACTGCTGGGGACCTTTCGTTGGTTACACCAGGACCACGAGAGACATAGGCGTGGGTACTCGGGGTGCGGGGGGTGCTGCAGCACCCCCAGGTGGCTCCGCACCCAGGCCTCCACTACCCAGCCCACGGCTTGGGTCCCGACCGTCAGCCCTGCTACCTGGCTGCTGGCCCCGTGCCTGGGGCTCCACGCCTGGGGCTCTACTCTTGGGGCGGTGACCCTGTGCCCTAGCTGCTGGCTCTGCGCACAGGGCTCAGGTCACGGCTGCTGGCCTGCTTCCCAGCCACTGGCCCTGTGCCCCGTGCCTGGGGATCTGCTCTTGGGGCACTGGCCCCATGCCCACGGCCCCACACCTGGCCCCCTGCTCCCGGGGTCCCGGCTGCTGGGGCTCTGCTACTGGCCCTACACATGAGGTCCTGGAGGCAGGCCCTGTGCCTAGGGCTCCGCTCCTGGCCCTATGCCTGCCCCCACCCAGCCTTTGCCCCCTTACCCCTGTCTGGGTCCCCCCTCCTGGAGACACGGCATTGCTCCCGGCCACAGCTGTGGGTGGGGGGTGCAGACAAGGGTAAGTGGGCTGGCTTTCAGCATCCCCACAATTAAAAGGATTAACAGACATGCTTTTACCCCAGACTGGTGAGGTGCTGTTTGGTTTCCTTACAACTGTGAATGGTGTTTCAGATAACTGAACTGCCCCCCACAGTCCGGGTGTATGTTACAACTGTGAAGCATCTTGGGACAGTGAGGGGTAGTTCAATACTCAGGCAAGTAAAAAGCTGCCAGTCCAGCGACGAATGGTCAATTACCCTTAAGAGTGTGAGGGTGAGGGGAGGATCAAAGAGAGCAGCAATTGCTGTCGCTGCTGGGATAGACAGACAGACAGACAGCAAGAGTAGCCGAAGCAGGAGGAGACAGCAGTGGCAGGGAGAGAATCCAAGCTTAAAATTACCATAACCTCAACATAAAATTACAGAAATAGCTGTTAGCGGGCCCTGTACAAACCAGAAAGCTCTACACCCCATACAGCATTTCTATAGCATTTCCAATCTTCAGAGCACATCTGGTTTATAGCCCTGGTTGGCGTGGGGCCGGCAGGCTCCCTACGTGGCTCCCCGGAAGCGGGGGCATCTGCAGCTCCTAGGTGGAGGAAGGGCGCAAGGGGCTTAGAGTACAGGGCTGGGGCACGAGGGGAGGCGTGGGATGTGGGAGGGAGTTTGGGTGCGGGGCGCTCACCTCGCTCGGCTCCCCGCAAGCGGCAACCAGTCCCTGCGCCGTTGGAGGCGCGGCTCTGCGTGCGCTGCCCCCTCCCCCCCCAGCGCTGGCTCCGCAGCGCCCATTGGCCGGGAACCGCAGCCAATGGGAGCTGCAGGGGCAGTGCCTGCGGATGGGGGCAGCACGCGCAGAGCCACCTAGCCATGACTCTGGCGCAGGGACTGGTCGCCGCTTGCGGGGAGCCGAGCGAGGTGAGTGCCCCGCGGATCCGGCGCCCCGCGACCCAGCTCCCTGGCATTAGTTCCCGGGATTTTTCACTTACTGGCACCCCCTGTTCACCCAACACGCCGGAGAGAAAAGCAGTGACTGGTACCGTTTATTGAAGGTGGTTTGGGGACTTTAATGTGGTTTGTTATTTTAATAAAAATACCCCAAACCGAAGGTTTAAAGACCAGGCTTAGGCAAAATAGATAGAAAAATAGATTGAACTCTTTTTGGATGCAGGTTTTAATCTCGATTTATGGTTGTTCATTCGCGTTGAAACAAAATAACTATCGAACGTGGATTCTGTGAGAGAATCAGATGCCGGGTTTGACATTATTTCTTTTTTTTAATATAAATTCTTAGTTTTGCTGCTTGTGGAGTTTTTAAAGTACCTTTTCAGGGCAGCTTTTACATCTGACAAAATGAAGTCCATATTGATGAGCTGCCAAAATCTTAGGAACCGGTTCCCTACCGGGTCTTCGACGGCATGGCTCTGGCGGCTGAAGGACCCGCCACCGAAAACCCGGTAGGGCACCGCCCGGTGAGTACACCCCCCCCCCCCCATGTCCTGCCCCCGACTGCCCCCCTCAGAAACCGCAACCCGTAACAGCCCCCTTGTCCCCTGACCACTCCTTCCCGAGACCCCCAACCCTAACTGCCCCCCAGGACCCCACCCCCTGCCCTGTCCCCTGACTGCCCCGACCCCATCCACCCCCCCCCCGACAGACCCCCGGAACTCCCACACCTACCCAACCCCCCCCATCCCCATCCCCTGACCGCCCCCCAGAACCTCTGCCCGATCCAACCCCCCCGGCCCCGGCCTCTTACCCCCGCCGGGGCCGGGCCGGAGCCGCTCCGCGCCGCGCGGCCGGAGTCGGGGCCGGGCGGCGCCTGGAGCCCTCCTCGCGCCCCGCCCAACCCCAGCTCACCTGCAGGAAGCCCGGCTGCCCGGGGATCGGCTGATTCGCGGGAAGCGGGGAGGGGAGGGGAAGCCGGGGGAGCGTCAGGGGAGGAGGCGGAGCTCGGTGAGCTGGGGCCGGGAGCAGGGCAGGGAGCTGCCAGAGATTTTGTTAAATTTAAAAGCCCTTTTAGAACCGGGACAACCGGTTCTAAAAGGGCTTCTAAATTTAACAACCGGTTCCCGCGAACCGGTGGGAACCGGCTCCCGCTAACCACCTAATATTGGGACCCTGTTTGGCACAAGGGACTAACGCACTGCCTGACCCAGCAGAACATCGGACCGTTTTTTGTTTTTGTTTTGCTACATGGAACTGATTGTGTGAAAACACACTGGTTCCCCCCTCCCCCCATCCTTTTAAAGATTTTTCCAAAATGAAGAAATTTAATTTCCGCAAAGTTTTGGATGGTTTAACTGCCTCATCTCCTGGTGGCAGTAGCAGTGGTGGCAGTAGCAGTGGTGGTGGAATTGGGGCTGGAAGTGGATCCGTGCATCCAGGAGGGACTGCAGGTGCTGCAGGGACACCCAGAGATGAGATCCAGGAAATCCTATCTTCGGATTATTTCCAGATTTGTAAGGTAAGGATTGGAGTGGCTCTTTCTATTCATTTACTATTAGAATTAAAAGAAAGAATGAAAGAAAAAAGCATCTATTAGGGGGGCTGGGTGATGTGATGCCAGCATACCTTTTACTTGACAACTGCAGTGTTGTGGTAGCTAACCCTGGAGTGATGGGATGGAAATCACATTTATGCTTGTTCTTCCCTGTGCACAGTTGTAGTAGTCAACAAATGCATAAGGCTCTTAATGTCAGCATCAAGAGCCCAATCCTGAGCTCAGGCTCAGTTTCCAAATTGATAACACTACAATGGCCAGGTAAGGAATTCAGGCAAAGCTAGTAAGAATAAAATGTGCAAGTGAGCTCTTTTTTAGAAATTCAGAGTAGCATACAAGGGTTTTTGTTTTTTGTTTTTTTAAATAAAATATGTTGCAGGTAATATTTCAGGAAAAGGCATTAAACAAAGGTAAAATCCACTGGAGTTAATGTTACACATAATGTTTTCATTTCTCATTTGTGATGCATTGAAAAGGGATCAATTATTTTCCTTTAATATTTGCAATGAAGGCTGTTAACTATGGCAACATTATAATAATAGAACAGTATCAAGATTGGCTAGCCCCAGATTTGATTGGTCTTTGTTTTTCTTAGGTGTTGACCAGATCCTTCAATGAGAGTTTTGTCTGAGTAAGAAGTGTAGGGTCATCCCTGTGTTTGTCTTTTTCATATTTATTTTTCATAACGAAAGCTTCAGCACTATTCTTAAATAAAATCAAATCAGTACTAGCTTCTCAGTAACAACAACAAATTATAATTAAAAAAAAAAAAAAGAAATGAAATGTTGAGCCCAATCCCATTGACCTTAACTTTGACATGAATTCTGTTGACTTTCACTGGGAGTTGTTCCTAAGAAAGGACTGCAGAATCAGGTCCCTTAATGTTGAACTTTCAAGGGTGTCTTGTAAATAGTGAAAAGGAAAAATGATTTTTTTTTAAATTGTAAGAAAAAATTGCTAGTATGTTTTAAAAGCTGTGTTAATCTTCCCAAAATAAACTTCATCCTTCAAGGTTTTTGAAATTCCAATTTGGCTCAACTTGATGTACAAAACGTCATCAAAGGATGAACCATTTATTTTTATTTTTTGTTACTGTTTTGCTTAATACCTTTGAAAAATAAAATAATTTGATTAACATAGGCATATAAAGAAAAATAAATGAAGTTTATGTGTTTAAGATACTTCTTTCTTAGTCAGCATAAAAGGCTATGGTTTGAAATTTGGGAAATGATCAAATCATATCGTAATCTAATTGCTTTTGGTTCTTTGGAAAAAAGAAGAAATTTAAGATATTTAACCATGTAAAGTGATACATTGCATGTATCAACATAAATATTTAAAACTAAGGGCCCACTTATGCTGTCATTGAAATCAAACAACTAGCACATTTTGGGGCATAATGGTTCAAATTCTGTTCCCAATTAAAGTCAATATAAAATCTCACATTGACTTCAGTAGGAACAGGACCAGAGGAAAAATTACTTCAATGAGCTTTGGATTAGGCTCTGTGTAAATAATAATGGGAATTTTGCCATTCATTACCTTATGTGAAAGCAGGATCAGGCCCTTTGGCCAAATTCCTCCATAGTCTAAATGTGTGCAACTCAGTTGTCTTAATGGAATTATACCTGTTTACACCGGGGTTCAATTTGGCTCCTTTTGTGTATGTATACAATAAAACAGTATTATGTCAAACTTCAAATATTTTAATAAGAGCCCTGCCTCTCCTTTTTAACACTACAGTAATAAAAAGGAAATACAAATAATCAAAAATATATTATAATATCATTGCAGAATCTGACTTAAATCCACAAAGTCAAGGGAATTCTGAGTTAAGGCTAAAACTCAGCATGTTTAACTCCATGATGAAGTCATCTTACAGCACCTGTGATTTGTATTTGTCTCAAAATAGTATCGTGTGATATTACATGTCATATGTTGTAATACGTAGTCAAAATAGGGTGCATTAAGAATAGTGTCAGTTCATTTTCAGCCTTAATTCTGAATTTACTTGTTACTTTAGAATATTTCTGTGGTGTTACTTTCTGATGAATCTATCTACATACATGAGTACATTAGTAAAACATCATTTTTGGAAGATTTTGGCAGGCAATAATTGCTTCTCTTTTTAAAATTAGCAGACTTTTTTTTTTTTAAAAACATCATTAAGCTGAGTGTTAATATCAATACAAGAAAGCTTTAAGCTGCAGCAGCACTTGCTTATAAAAGCATGGTACTGCAGAGGCCAACCTGATAGTATACAAAATAATTACTTCCTTTGATCAAAACACATAGATGCAATAAAAGCAAACTTGCCAAAATATTCCATAAATATGTGGTGATAAAAAAAATATACTGCCCTAAAGGTTATCCTTAGATAGGAATTATTCTGCTGTATGGCCTTTTGGTGATCTTATGAATATGTTTGAGTAAACCAACAGAAGACCCATAGGCCCCAATCCTGCATTTTGTAGCACGTGAATGGACCACTGTGCTCATGCAGGCCCTCACTGAAGTCAGTGGGGCTCCATATGGGCACAGCAGTCCACCCGCATTCTACAAGGTGCAGGCTCAGAGTAATAATTTGTACCATAAACCAATGCAAAAGAAATGTTGCAAAAGTAAAAATAAAGAAAGGATCATAGAATCTAAAACTTGCCTTTTTTTCAAGTTACTCCTACACAGACTTTTGAGATTTCTATTGAATATTATTCAACTGGAATAGGTAAGTTTTTTAGCTGCATGTCTGAGGTCCTGATCCTACAGCCCTTGCTCACTCAAAACTCCCATTAAAGCAAATGGCAAATCTGGATTTTTATGGGCTGCAGGCTAAGGACAGATAGAGCAACAGTTCAGCTAATCTTTTAAAACCGTTTTATTTTTCTTTCCTTTGCTGTGTCTTCATTTAGGTGTAGAACATAAAAGCTGACTCATACTTCAGAATTATAGGGCCTGATCTTAGGCACATTTCCCATTTGAAGTAAATGGGAGCTTTTCTTAAATAAAAACTGCAGGATCTAGATCACAGTTAAGACTGGTTTTATTATTAACAGATCTGAGGGCTTTTTCCTCTCTGTGTATTTCGAAGGTGCTTATCACTGAGGTGTCTATCAGGTATATTAGTAAATTAGATTTTTATTTTATTTGGATGTGTTCACAATTGCCTTTTGATATTTATTTTCAAAAGAAGGGGACTACATTAATGATTTTAAGAATATAAATACACTAGGTTTGGAAATATTGTGAGCTAAATTACTATTGCCTTTCCTAACAAGCATGATAAATTTACATGAAGGTAATGTTGTAATAATGAATCAGTGGCAACCTCTTTTACAGTATTAATATAATGACATGAAATTCTGACACTCTTATAGTTGTCAGCTACTGTGAAATCAGCAAACTGAGATACAGATCACATAGTTTACATGGCTGCTCTTGGGAGGTGGGAATTCATGTGCATATCATAAAGATATTGATTATAGCTGGGATCAGCTGAATCAAAAATTTTAATGTAGTAGCTGTGACAGATATTGCAACCGCATGCAGTATCTGTGAGGATCATTTTGTGTTAAGTGTATGAATGGTTTATATAACACTGTGGGCCAGGGATTGTATGTAATTCCAAGGGGGAAGGATTACCACAGCTCCACAAGGAACTAAAAGCAGTAGGGGGTGATTAAGATGAATCATTTAGGTTATAAACACTCCAGAGAGCTACCACCCCTTGGAGAGGCTTCAATATACTAGTTCAGACTGGTTGTTTTTTTTAGAAACCAACAGACAAAGAACAGGCTTTTGGTGTAAAAAGGCTGGGTTTAAGCTGACTTGGGGTCTTCTTTCTGATCCAGCAAATGGACAGGACCTTCTGTCAAAGAACTCCAACCCTTGCAAAAGGGTTGGAAAGACTGTGGCCTACTAGAGCCCCGTAAGACTGATGGGTGACCTCTGGTAAGCTTTTAGCATAAGTATATGAACTTTTATTGTTTTTGACATGTTTTTATATGAGAATAAAGGTGCTTGCTTTAGAAGGAGCTGTGTTGTAACTAGTAATTGCTGGTAATACACAATTAATAGCTCTGGGAGAGAAAGCAATGCACAGGTGCTGGCCTTTAGAGAGAATGGCTTTCTGGAGGTTTGACAGTGTAATGCAGGGAGCTGTGCACCCTTAAAACCCCAGTCAGAAAGGAGAGAGACATAGATCTCCAACCAAGAGAGGTGATGGCTGGGAGCTGGAAGCCTTAAGTGGGTTCCCTTGAGGGACCACAGAGAGGGAATGCAGTTGAAGTTATCCTGAAAGCATGACAATAGCCTCGTGCCAAAAACTGGGCCTGATCCAGGTGAAGTTAGTAAACGGGTGTCATTTACTATAAGGTGGGGGAGGAGCAGCTGCCTCTCCAGTCCTTGGTTTCCTACCCCCCTGACTTTTCATAGGTCTATATGCTTCATTATGTCTTCCACTCCCTCCCCCCAACTTTGGGTGTGATGATTAGGAGAGCAATAATTGCCCAGTTTTTCTCATTCATTATGCTGTTTTGGACAGAGAATATTCTGTATGCTGACACAACTTTGCCCACCCTTTACCCACCGAATTTTTCTGAGATGACACCCCTGATAGTAAAGCTCAAATTGATGTTAGTGGCATAACATTAGCCTCATTCTTTGGAATAAGGGTCATAGTTTCTTATATTTTGCCATCATATTAAATAGGTGCTTTCCTAACAGATGTTCACAGGTGAGTCCAAGCCACAGTCCACAATATGTAAGAACCTGTTGGACTAGAACCAGGGAACACATGGGTTCTGCACCACTGATGGTTCTGCATCATCACTGGAAGCTTAGGCTGTGTTTCTCATAGACTCATAGACTTTAAGGTCAGAAGGGACCAATATGGTCATCTAGTCTGACCTCCCGCATGCTGCAGGCCACAAAAGCTGACCCCCCCACTTTCCCTTAACTCTGCTGTT